GCTTGTTAGGCCAACTGGTCGCCCAAGTTTAGAAGAACAACAGCCAGGTTTATTAGAAGCTATTGTTCAAATTGTTTTTCCGGATAGGCAGGCTGATGAAAGATGGCATTTAGAAATCGTACGGTCTGTTAAGACTTTAGATCAGCTCCAAGAAGCATTAACACATATGAACTATAACTTGTCACATTCTGCAGCGTATCTTAGGCTCATTCCAAAATGGTATAGTACTGAAAAGGAAAGCAACATGTTAAAGCCAGTAAAGCTTCTAAGGTCGCAAAACATAGCAAGAAGAAGTCATGAAGATACTCATTTCTGCACTGCTTTGATAAGAAATATAAAAGAAATGTTATCGTTATTGGGTCCCAAGAGTGCTTTAGTAATCTTTTAAGATGATAAAGTGCAAATACCTCTTGGCCAACAAACAAGGTTGTTATAAATTAAAATAAAATAGAATTACTATTTAAAATATAATAAATAAAAAAATAAAACTTCATAATTAATTAAATCATATAGCACCGATTCTTATGAGGCTGGAATACCAAGTAGAACTGCCAGATCACGATTGGGTTGTTACTGAAAGACATAAACTGATTCCTTCAGTCTATGCAATATTGGATATACAAGGGGCAAGCTAAAGCAGTAACATATTCAGGTTCAATATTTATAAGGATCCGTAGTGGTAAACATGATAGCAGTACCGCTTATTCTCACGGTAAAGATTTTGATGACTTGATAAATGAGGAGAAATTGCATAACTACACTACAACAAATGAACAGCCTAAACCTGTAGTAGTGCTGATAAGTGACAGTGGTTCTGACGAGAACCCTAGATATAGAAAAACAATTCAAATGATGATCAAATATTTTGATAAATATAATCTTAATACTATAATTGTGGTATGCTTTGCACCACACCAGAGTGCATCTAATTTGGTTGAAAGGTGAATGGCGCCTTTAAGTCATGACTTAGCTGGCGTCATACTTCCGTATAATATATTTGGATCACATTTAGATGCACAGCTAAAAACAAATGATAAAGAGTTAGAAAAGCGTAATTTTAAAGCAGCTGCAAATATTTTAATATCAATATAGAAAGATACAATTATAGATAATTACCCAGTTCTTGTTAAGTATATAGATCCTCCTAATGAACATTATAGCCCAAGTGAAAAGTCAGCAACTTGGATTGAGAAACATGTAATGACTTGTCATTATGTTACCCAAGTCGTGAAGTATGATGATCCAAGTTGCTGTAAGCCTTTTCGTAGTGGGATTAGGCAAATTCTCCTGAATTGGTTTTTCCCTCCGCCACTTGTAGTTCAGCAAACACCCTATAATATTTGCGCAGCAAAGATAAATGAATTTGACAATACAACCCACTTTAGCTCTTTTCTTTTATCTGTATTAATGGAAAGAAAACTAACTTCTCCAGATATGAATCTACGATACCTTTCTTTTGATTGGTATTGCCCAACTGTCAATAAATCGATCAATGAATATATTTGTTTTTACTGTAATCGGTACTTTGCTTTAAAAAGAACTTTAAAAAACCATACTAGAAAATATTCGCATAAGGAATCTAATTTATTTATAGAGGCTGCTTTGGATACTCAAGAATTCCCAGTGGTGTATGTTCACAACTATCATCATGGTGAATTCTTGGTCAGTAACAAAAGTAGTGAGACTATGTGGGTGGAAGAAGAGGCGGTACCAGAAGATGTGTTAGAAACCTATAATCAGCAAGTACAAGTTCAAGAAGAATTGGTTGCAGATAAAGTGTTAATAGTTAACTAGGATACTTGGAAAGAATGCGAGTGGAAAAATGAGTAAATTAGAGTATTAGAGTTAGAGTGGGACTTTTATATATAGATACAAAAATGCAATATGTGGATCAAATACCACTATATGTTCCATTGTTGCATTGTCCATTACCAATTCTGTCATACTATATAAATTAAAAATATATATATGTATTATACACTCTTGTACAATATACCTGTTAATAAAAAAAAAGTTTTAAATTTTACGTTTTCATCCCATTTCTATGGGTAAAGAATACTAATATGTGCTCTTTCAAACTTTTTCAAAGATAGGTAATTATTTTTGACGTAATTATACTTTTTTTCATCAATAATAGTGCCTCACAAATACCTAAATTCAATACCTCATTCTCAACATCTTTTACAACTTAGGAATCAACCTCTCA